AAGTTTTAGCAGTGGCTGAAGCTGGGGGCAGAGCAGCTCCAATGGTCCGGCTGCCCGGAGCACTTCTGGGTTCCTGATAGTGCCGGACCATTGGAGTTTTACTGAATTTACCGTGTTTAAAGTTTTTCCTAGTTTTCAAGAAACATCAAATACTAATTCCTAGTACATTTTATAATGGAGATTGCCTATCTCCTAGAACTGGAAGGGACCTTGAAAGGTCATTGAGTCCAGTCCCCTGCCTTCACAGCAGGACCAAGTACTATCCCTGATGAATTTTTGCCCCAAATCCCTAAATGGCCTCCAAGGATTGAACTCACAACCCTGGGTTTAGCAGGCCAATGCTCAAACCACTGAAACATTTTTCTATTGACTCTAGTATAATTGTTTTCAGTATAGGTGGGGAATCGTGTATTGACTACAAATTATCTGAAGTTCTGTAAACCATTCAGTCTGGTGCCTTGTATGCTTCTACATGACTAGGGCTCCAGGGTGCTATGGTAATGCAAGTACTAAATACAAGAAACGGAAATGTTAATCATATTTAACTTGTTTCCCTCTTGCTTATAGCTAAGTGTCTGCTTGTGCCTCTAACCTATTAGGTAAGGATATGAGGCTAAATTTACAGTGCAGTTTCTACAGCTTGTTCTAAGATTGTTTGAGACAGTCATGGTGGATGCTAGTTCCAGAAGAAACTCTCTCAAACTTTAGTTCAGTGTCTCTACTTCATGAGTGGAAACAAAGTAGGGGCATCAGTATTAGTAACTTTGGAGAACTTTCTGTCCAAACACAAGCACAATAGTGTTAAATAGCAACATCTTTTCAAAAATATTAAATGATTAAAGATCCATTTAAATCTTATTTCTCACTGGAAACTGGTGGTTAAATATGAGCGTAACAGTGATATATTGGAATTTGCCAGCTAGGGCATGGTCTCAAGCTTCTTGCCTAAAGTGAAGTTATTGTAATTAAACAGTTGGTAGTGTATAGTGACATTTGTTAAAACAGAGTAGAAATATGGATTGTGTGTCATCTGTGCTCTGTTCTTAAATTGAACCTAATTAAAGTGATGCCTAAAAGAAAAGGACTGCTTAATTTTATGGAAGTACAATTGGTAACTATTTACTAGCTCTTTCTGATTCTAAAAGCTTATATTGGTAAGTATCTGATCCAGATCTAACCAATACTTAATTTTTTACTTTCTACATACACTCCTTGGCTACGTCTACACTGGCCCCTTTTACGAAAGGGGCATGCTAATTTTAAACTTCGTAATAGGGAAATCCGCGGGGGATTTAAATATCCCCCGCGGGATTTAAATAAAGATGTCCGCCGCTTTTTTCCGGCTTTTCCCCAAGTCGGAAAAAAGCGGCGGACATCTTTATTTAAATCCCGCGGGGGATATTTAAATCCCCTGCGGATTTCCCTATTACGAATTTTAAAATTAGCATGCCCCTTTCGTAAAAGGGGCCAGTGTAGACGTAGCCCTTGAGGAATTAACTGAATTCTGAGATCATAAAGAATAGAGGCTTCCAGTTGAGGCACTCTGGCTTCATTGACTCGACAGCATCCTTTCAATCCAACTTTAAAACTTCATGTATGTTACAAATGATTAGGATCAGTTATTTTCACTCGAACTTGCATTATAGCAAAATGCTGTAATGTTTAATTTGAAATTATTGCAGGAATTAATGCCTCCAAAGCATTCATGACATTTAATTGTATTCCTATTATTGGGTTTGCTGTAAACAGGTTTCATGAACCAGTCTTGGGTGTTCAACTACCAGTCTTGGGTGTTCAACTACCAGAAAGTGTACATCAACAGTGATTATTTCAGAGAAGCTCCATTATTAGGTTTTTCATGAGAACTTGAAACTTTGGTTAAAGATGTTAGAGAAACAGATAATTCTTTTTCAGACTTACCTTCTGTAAATAGATTAACTTTCAAAAAGCATTTTATGAACATGAAACTACTATACTGTACACTTTTTAAAGGGGCATGAGTTAATTTGAAGATTAAAAGTAGTTTCAGGTGCTGTACCCTCATGAGTTTGTGTTTATAAAATGCTGTTGTATCTTTATGTATTTTTGTCACTGTTGCTCTGAGACTTATGTGAACTAAAGGGAAAGCTGAATAATATAAATTGAGGATAGTGCCCCAACTTCCCAATCAGGATAAGGTAGCATTGCACTACACTGCCTACAAACCTGTATGAAGGGTCAGTCCCTGCCCTGGAGAGTTTATAGACACTTTCACCATATTCTAATTGTAAAGTAGCCAAGTAAAAAAAAAAAAAAAAAAAAAAAAATCTCTGCCCCCCCCCCCAATATGGTAATCTTGGGTGTTAACTTTTTACAATAGGAAAAGTTTTCAAGAGAAGTGACTTAACATTGTCTTATAAACAAATTTGAACCTGTAATAAACACTTTAATTTAGCATGGATACTAAGTTGACTATGAGAATGGTTAGGATTTAACTACAGATTAAACATATATGCTGCTAGATATCTATGTATTGTAGGAAGCAGTGGAGAAATATGATGAAGTGATACACAACTTGGAGTTTGCCAAGGAGCTTCAAAAGACTTTTTCTGGACTCAGCCAAGATGTAAGTAAAACCTGCTCTTTGTGCTCTAAAGATCTATAAAATTATCAGACTCGCGTTCAGAAGCTGTGTGATCATGGATCTAAAGTGGTAATCCAAAAGACAGAGCTGGTAGTATGACCTAGGTAGCTTTACATTCCAGAAAAATGATTATTCTAGCCTTTTGCTTTTTCTAGTTAGGTAACATTGAAGAGATCTTATTAGTCTAACTGTAAAACTGAAATTTTTGTCTCTGGTAAAAATGTGATCAGGGTGTAGGATTGTTGTAGACATTTGCAAATATTGTTGCTAGATCATGAAGGCCAGTGATTTAAGAGTATCAAATCTCAGAAAACTACTGCTGAAATATGTAACAAGTGCAGTCAATTTTAGATTACTCCAGGATGTTCTGTTTCAAGTGGACAAGGATCCATTTGTATAAAGCCAACCCTTTTTAGCAGTCTGAGTTTCAGGATTGAACTCGCAGTTCTTTGTGCGGCCAAGTGAAGCTAGATTATACTTCAGCTGTACACAAAGCAAAACTCCATTTCCACTCATGCCAGTTGCTCAGTTCAAATGGGAAAGTGGTGAAAATACTGCAAATTAAGAGCCAAAAACACTAATGCAGAATTACCCAATATTTGGGGCTCATATACAATGGTTAGACTCTAGAACTGGATATATTGCTTCACTTTAGGTGAGACTTTGACGTTCTTTTGAGTAGAAGTTAGTGTATTGGCATTCTGGCAGACACCCTCCTCTTAAGTTCTAATCTAGGGCTGAGAGATAAGGTTACTACACTTAATCATTGCACTGTTATTTCCCTGTCTTATCTTGGGTATGAAAGATTCCATAAAACAGGTCTTGTCATTCACTAGGGTCTAAGCAATTTTTCTAGAGAAGTTGTTCCTCTTGAATTTGTATTTGTTTCAGGTACAATTTGGTTCGTAGGCTAGTGAGAACGCAACTCTGGTAAGATGAGGGTTAAGATTATTCTAGAGTATCTTTGTCCTAGAAATTGCTTCATGCAGTGTTGCCATCATAAATTGGAATTTTTTTGTCATTATTTGCTTAAACTTTTGGATGTCTGTATATTTCACTCAAGTTTAACTTGTACTCTAAGAGCCTGTGCTGCTTTATGAATATTTACTTCTCCATATTTCTGCTCAATGTAACTGTATGTTCTCCCCTGGTAATATTAGATGTTTACGTGGAAGAATTAAAAGCTATAGTTAGTTACTCCCTTATATTGAAGCGCAAACAATGGATTCTTGTCTTGTTTGTTTTTACCAAATACGGATTCTGCCAAAGCTTAATTGTTCCAGAAGTTAGCTCTAGGTAAAACTCCTTTCAGCCCTTCCATACTAAATGGTGTTCCTTTATTACATTGCTGCAAATTTGAGGACTTTGATGTTACTGCTCAGTAGTTGTATGGAACAACTTGGGTGCATTTTTAAAATTCTGGAATGCTTTGGAAATCACTGAATTCTCTGTGTAACTTGATATAAGCATGCCACAGTGTGATGGAGGGGCCTAGTCATGGAATACATAGGGGAGCTACATGCTACTTGCACAATGACTGTTGAAATTAAGTATTTCAGTCTCTTGTCAATACTGGAAAATCAAGGGAATATTGGGCTTCTGGTGTATTCTGTCCAGAAGCTTGTAATTGTCAAGTATTTTTAGTGGTATGATTTACACTGAAACCTTTCCTTATTTTTGACCACTTTTGCATTCACTGTCTAACATGCTTATAATTACAGTAACTGCATACTAAAACATGTAATGTAACTTAATGGGTAATACTTACCAGTTTTGGATAACTAGTGGGGGCTGAAGTCAGGGGGCTGCTCTAGCCCCACAAGGTCTGTTGTGGACAGGGGATGCTCTGGCATCATGTTTAACCGGTTAATCAATTACATGGTTTTTACATAATACTGGCAAGGGCAAAGTGCCATTGATTCATGATGTAATTTCTTAGCGTTTCAACTGTATCATGATATTATGCAATTTTTAATTAGCACTCGGTCTCTTCATAGCTTACAAACATCAGATACATCATTGGCATATTATAAATGACTGTTGCATGTTTTAATCTAGGCAAGAGGAAATTATCAAGTGAAGGGTTAGATCAAATTGAAGGGTTAGAAACTGAGCATTGGATTTGTACCTACAGATTGAGAAACTGTATTGAAAGAACCTGAACAGGTTAGCTGCTTTTGTAAACTCTTGTAAGCATTTATCTGTATCTTTAGGTGCCCAACTACCTTTTTTAAGTTTAGCCTCCAGTTTGCAATTTGTAATCCAGTACCCAGTCATTTATCATTCCCAGTTTAGTGGATCAACTCACTCTTGTATTCCAACAGCTCCTGAAAGCACAGAAGAAGGCTCAGAGACGGGAGACTATAATGAAGCTTGAAGCAGAGAAGAAAAAGCTACGTACAATACTGCAAGTCCAGTATGTGCTGCAGAACTTCACTCAAGAGCATGTTCAGAAAGACTTCAAAGGTGGCCTGAATGGTGCAATATATTTGCCTTCTAAAGAACTAGACTACCTCATTAGATTTGCAAAATTGACATGCCTGGAAAGAAATGAGAACCTGAGGTAGGTTGACTTTTCTCACTCAGTCTCCTGTGTCATATAATAGAATGCCTGTGTATAAACTCTTTCATAACATGCTATATATATAATTTTTATTTGACTTTGAACACCAATTTATTGGAGTGGCAATTTGGGATCTGGCACTGAGCAGGTTTGCCACTTCTAGTGTTTGCATTTGTGCCATTAACTCTTCTGTACTGGGCATGCAGACACCTAGCAGTCACTCTCTCCTTCAGTAGTACTTTGAGCTCCTGCTGCTGTATGTAGATATAAATGGCAGAACTGCCCTTAGACTCCTCTGTTCCTTTTTACCACTTGCTGTGGTCACTGGAACACTGAACAGCTCTTGGCTTTTGTGTGCAACTTATGTAATATTGTTAGGTTAGTGATTAGTCTGGCTAGTATAGCTAAATCTTAGCTTTTAAAATATTTTGGACTGGATTTTTGCATTTCTGGGTTTCTTCTGCATACAGTTCTGTGGTATGCCCTCAGGATTGATTCAAGCTTTCCTTGCTTGAGGCCTGGGACAGTGAATGACCCACACAATAGCTGCCTGAAATGCCTGGGTGAGACACATAAGAACAGTGCTAGATGAGCAGGGTGTTTAAGTCTCTAATGGAGGATAAGGAGGCTAGGCTGAAATCCTTCTGATGAAGGCAGCACTCAGGCTACCATCAGAGCTGTTCTGGTTTGACTTTATGCTGAGTACAGCAACTGAAGAGAGCAGGATGGCTTCAGCTGAATCCTATCACTGATTTCCCCTGCCAGTACTGGGGGGGGGGTATAAGACCTACAAAGAAGCCCCAGCCAAAGAAGGTCTTCATTATGTGTGTCTAAGACAAAGAACATCATCAAGACCCATACCTGAAACCTGTTTACATATTCAGCATCCCAGAAATGTTTAGGTAGCAACAGATCAGCTCTGCTGGCTACTGTCAGTGTCCATCGCTATAAGAGTTGAATCCCCTGATGACTTTCTCATCCAGTACTGGCAGTTCAACCTTTGGTGCTTGACTAGTCTGCTTCGCACATTGACAGTACCAAGGGGAACTATCTAAGGGGAAACCTGTAATGATGTTTCTGCTGTCACCACATTCTCTTCACTGGTCCCTGGCACAAACTGGGCCCACTTGCTCAGTGGTCAGAGGAAGGGGGAATCTTCTTCCTCAGACTGAGGTGGGAAGCTTTGTTTCAAAATCTGAAGCAGAACCTGCTTGTTTCCTTACAAATCCTTTCTGCCAGCCTGCCACTACAACCCATCAGTGGGTACTGCCAAGGAAATGTGGCTAGACTAGTAGGGTCTGGCCATGTGTTGGTGGCCACTTTGGAATATTTAGTGGCTTCCCTAACTTCTGGATCTTTCCCCATACCAGGTGTAGTTAGTACCTTCATTTAGATAGGTGGAATCTCTACACTGGGCTGCTCAGTCTCCAGGGTCTGGTACCCCGTTGCATACTGAGCATCAAGAATAGGTCCTAGAGCCGGAGCAGCATATGGCAAAGAATCTGTTCTTTTCCAATCATGACTTTCTCTTCATCCTCTCCAGATGAAGTGATTTCCTAATGGGTAACTTCTCTTCCTCCTCATGATGATGATTTTTATCAGAGGTTATTGAAGAGTGGCACATTCAGGTCTTGAACAATCAGGGAGTCCTCACATCTGGGTGACATATTTTATAACTGAGTTATTTCAGGCTGGCTTTGCCCATTAGCAGCAGTAATAGAGCTTCTAAAGACTGACAGACTCCATTTTCATTGTCTTCTCCCCCCCTCACCAGATGTTGAGTACCTCTGAACTTATCCATCATTGGACTTGGTGGTCATGACAGATACTAATGAGAGATCATGACAAAGTATCAGGCTGCCATCCCCATATCCAAAGATGTTAAAAGCCTGACCTTATTTGGCAGAAAGATTTCTTTGATGTGGTCTTGCTGACTCTTCTAGGGTGGTACAATTTTAATGTTCGGGGTTCCAAGTTGAAGTTCAGAGAGCTGCTTCTGAGGAATGCAAGGTAGGTGTTCTACCCTCATTGAACAGAGAAGAAAGTAGTCTGAAGAATGTCACTGTAGGAGTGGCTGGATTTAGCAGACTTAGATGCTAGAACCATAGCTTTTACAGTTGCTCCACACAAGTAATATTGTTGTAATCTTCAGGTATTCCTTGTGAAGACCAGAATACTATCCAGGACTTGCTGCTTAAGGGTCTTTCTCTACTCTCAGAGCTTGCTGTCTTGCTTGAGACTAAAGTCTCTAAAATCACCTTCAAGTCCTTAAGCTTGTGCTCGTTTGCTGTAGTTTGAAAACACTAACAGTTCCAGCAGATGGTATTCTGCTCTGTTTCTTTGACAGGACCTGGGCATCAGCCTTCCCTTCCTGCTGCTTTGGCTACTGTTCCAGTTCTTTCAGGACACATGGAAGTACAACACAATCATTTTGAGGGGTTGGTGGAATTTGCAGGGGTGGGCTGCTGGCAGCTGGGGCCCCAGGCGGAATGCGTGATCTGCGCCCCCACCTCCACAGCCCTCCATGGCATGATGTCATCATTGGGCACCCTGTTTAATGCGGCGCCGTAGGCGATGGCCGAGTCGGCCTATACGCACAGGCCGCCCCTGGGAATTTGCCATGTCAGTCTCCATATCTCCAGACCCAAGCACCTTTTACCTCTTTAAACTGTTACACTTCCACAATGCTTAGTAGTGAATTATTTGGACCCCTGGGTGTTGAGCACTGAGGAGGTGAGATGTTTTCCAGTTTGCTTTTGCCCTTTCTCCATACCTCTGTCATGAGATGTTCCACATTCACAAGGTGCAGTGTCTCCTTCTATTAGAAGCGATTAAGTGGATTCCACATGTTCTGAGGGAAAGGATGTTTTAGTCCCAATAATGAAGTGGGGAAGGTGATTTCAAACCAATCTGATCTCTCAATTCAGCAGGTTCTTAAAGATAAGGTTCCACAGTCACCTAGTTTTATTCCCATCTTGGACACTGGTATGTTGTCCTGAACTTAAAGCTCACTTTCCTATGGCAGTTAAGCATGCAGGAAATAGCTCTGGCTTCTGGTAAATCAGAAAATTTTTTAGTTGACTGTATTACCTTTGGGCTCTCAGCAGCACTCAGGATCTTTACAAAAGTGATGACAGTAGCAGCATTCTTCTAAAGATCTTGAATTCAGGCTTACTCTTATCTGAAGGACTAGCTTCTCAAGAGCTGTTACAAACTACAGTTAGTGTAGTGTAGACCTGATCAGTCAAGGTTTGATGCTCTAGAACAGGGCTGGGCAAGGGCAAGATGTGGTCCAGGGGCCGAATCCAGCCCATGGATTGTATTTGGCTGCTCTCTATTTAGATTTGCTGCTCATGCCACCAATTTTTCAGACAGTAGGCCATTATTTAAATGGCTAATAGCTCCCAGTCACAGCACAAGCTGTCTTGTGTAAATTATTGCCCACCCCAATCTAAATGGTTAAATACACTAGACTGTCTCAGAACTTTGCTGCTAACCAGCCCTGCAATCTATTACCAAGCTGTCATCACCTAAACTCTGTGGTAAGGATGCCCTCATGATGTCAGTCCCCTGGATTGTCTAGATGTGTCAATCAGTGAATGTGCATGTACTCAATCTGCTGATGCTCCGGCTAATGGCAGATGGTCTGTTCAGAATGGTGTGCATACCTGGGTATACAATGTACACAATATACACAGGGTCTGTGGTTCTCAGGAGATTTTAGCTTTATATATCCATGTTTGAAGGAAAAGCTGTCAGGCTGGCATGCCAAATATTTCAATCACAGATTGGAGGAAGCTGTCTGCTAATCCTTTCAGACACAGCACAGGGGTGCCTGCTCTTCTAGACTTTCAGGAGATGATTCTAAGAACTCTGTGGTGTTAACTTAGTAGGTCTGGAAGAATTTTACATGTCAGAGATACACAATGACCTAGCTGACTGCATGAGCAGATCATTTGAGTCACCACAAGTGATCACTTTGTCCAGATGTGGCCAGACACATCTTGAAGAGGGGATTGCCTAAATAGACCTGCTTGTGACTGACTCGGTAGGCAACAGAACTTCTATTGAGTTCCATAATTGATGTGTGTAGGCTCATCTCTGTGCTTTTGTCAATCCCACTCATTCACAGGGTATTACGAAAGATAAAACAGAAGTAGGCCAGAGTCAGACTTAAAATCCTTGAATGGCCAACTGGTTTTCTACTCTCCTGTCACAATCGGTGGAAATCCCGATTACACTTTCACAAGACTTGACTATGATCTACTCCACCCAAACCTACAGCCTCTTAATTTAATTCCATGGATGCTCTATGGCTAGATATTAGATAAGTCTGGACTAAATAGTTCAAGAAGCTTTGCTATATAGCATCATACAAATGTAGAGTGGAAAGTACCTCTATAGATGATATATTCCTGCTTCAGTAAAGAGGACAGGACTAAGTAGTCTCTAGACTAGGAATGTTGGTGTATACTTGAGTAAACAATTAACCGATAAGCCTATGCTTACCTGTTAATTCTGTCCACTACGTGCGTGCACCCCCTCTCCCTACCCCCCAGCGCTGCCTCTGTTAGAGGCAGGGACGGGGGAGAGAGCTGGTGCCCAGGAGGAGCTGACTTTCAGCAGGCTCTATAAAAGCACCAGATCCAACCACCCCCCCTTATCCACCACAGAGGTTGGGGGAGGGGTGGGGCAGGCGCGGGAGCCAATATGCATGTGGTGCTGGCATTGAAGACAGCTCCCTGCATGTATCTGCTCCCATGGACCAGCCTACTCTTGCTTACTGCCCCTGTAGGAGGCAGTGGGGGGCAGGCAGGAGCTGGTGTGGGGTGGGCTCACTTAAAACCTCGTTCTCTGCAGTCCCACCTGTGGTGCCACCTGTCTTTCCCCCTCCTCTTACCTGCCTCCCAATGCTGCTGCCTCTGTCAGGTGAGGGCTGTTGAGACTGCTACAAAGCAGCCTCTGTTTGCATGGAGGTCCAAGCTCCATGCTGCTCTGCA